AAGACGTTTTAAAGAAGTATTTGGACACCCAGATAATAAACTATTGCAATAGTCCAGTCTAGACGTGACAAATGCATGAACCAGTTTTTCTGCATCATTTTTAAATAAGATGTTTCTAATTTTAGCGATATTACACAGGTGGAAGAAGGCAGTTCTATTAGTGTTTTTAATGTGGGGGATAAAAGACATGTCCTGATCAAAAATAACACAAAGATTTTTAACATTAGAGCTTGGGGCCAGATTAATGCCATAAGGAGGGCGAAAGACTGCTAAATTTATTTCATGCTCGGGTCTAAAAACCAAAACCTCAGTCTTGTCTGAATTTAAAAGCAGAAAATTAAGGGTCATCCAGGCTTTTATGTCTTTAAGACATGCTTTTTGTCATAAGATCTGAATACCCAGAGTGAAAAAGGAGGGGACTGAGGATGAACACTCAACACAAGAAGATCATCCATCCATCCATCCATCCATTTTCTTTACGCGCTTATTCCATTTTGGGTCACGGGGGACGCTGGTGCCCATGTCCAGCAATCACTGTGCGAGGGGCGGGGTACACCCTGGACGGGTCGCAAGTCCATCATAGGGCCACATAGAGACAAACGAGACAAACAAACATTCACTCTCTCACTCACACCTAGGGACAATTTAGAGTTACCAATCAGCCTAACATGCATGTTTTTGGTCTGTGGGAGGAAACCGGAGTACCCGGAGAAAACCCACGCATGCACGTAGAGAACATGCAAACTCCACCCAGAAAGGCCCCTGGACTGGGGTTTGAACCAAGGACCTGCTCGCTGAGAGGCAGCAGCTCTACCAGTTGCGCCACCGTGCTGCCTACAAAAACATCAGTTCAGTGCTTTTATTTAGATTGCAGCAATAACAGGAACCATACAGAATCCTGGTGATGGTATTAGGTCTGTCTTTGTTTCCAATCAGTAACAATCCAAGTGAGAGAGAGTGTGTCCAGAGATCTCTAGAAGCATGTAGTACGAGACACAGGAGAACAGCTGGAGGGCATAGGCAAGGCCCAAGTGTTTGGTTTCTTTACTTTTTCAAACACGGTTTCTTTTTCATCATATCGCCAGCAAACTGGTTTTTCCACTGTGGGAGTGTGGTATTTGTAGGACTACAGTTTGTTTGTGCCTCCTTGGACCGAAGAAATCCTTCGGATAAAGGACGAAACATCTCAGTAAAGAAAAAAGAAAAGAAAAAAAAAACATCCAGATGACTTCTTGAACATTGTTGGATTTGTATCTGGATTACTGGGCATGAACTTTGGTGTTTTTAACCGTTTTGGCATGACTGCCCTAGATGAGTTGACAGGGGAGAGGGTGGACCCCAGAAACCATTGTATCACCAGCAAACTGGTTTTGTTACACTATGGGAGTGTGGTATTTGTGGGACTATAGGTTGTTTGTGCCTCCTCGGACTGAAGAAGTCTTTCGGATGAAGGACGAAAAATCTCAACAAATAAAAAATAAAGAAAGAAACCATCCAGATGACCTGACTGACTCGCTTGAAGACCCACTTCTATTCGCTTGCCTTTAACACGGTGTGATTTGTTTTGGTCCGGTCTGTTCTCTACTCTGTTGGCCATTTTAGTTAGCTTCTGCTGCTATTTGTATCTGTATTTCTATTTTATGTTTTCCTGTCCGCTGTGCATGTTTGTGTTCTTTTGTACAGCACTTTGGTTGGCCTTGTTGCTGTTTTAAGTGCTATATAAATAAATTGGTATGGTATGGTATGGTATTTTGGCATGACTGCTCCAGAGGAGTTTATGGGGGAGAGGGTGGGCCCACGAAACCACCTTATCACCAGCAAACTGGATTTTTCCACTATGGGAGTGTGGTATTTATGGGACTATAGTTTGTTTGTGCTTCCTTGAACTGAAGAAGTCCTTCTGATGAAGGACGAAAAGTCTCAGCAAAAAAAAAAAAAGAAACCATCCAGATGACCTGACTGAACATTGTTGGATTACTGTGTGTCCTTGTTCTGATATCTGCAGGACTGGTAGGGCAGAGCAAGGAATGCACCAAAGCTGCCTCAGTGGAAGTGCTGCTCTCTTGTGGTATAACTAGGTACAGCAACTCAATTCAATTGCCTTTCCACAATGTTCACAATTATTATATCACTAATAAAACAAAACAATGTGATCATGCCTTTGTGTGTCACATGAACGTAATTTTACATATATGAATGTTTCTGCTCAGTGCCCTGAGATGACTTCTGTTGTGACTTGGTGCTTTATAAATAAACTGAATTGAATTTAGTGAAGAAGTCCATTAAACAGTTTACTTCGATCAGTTTTTTTTATCTAAATTTATATTATAGGATTAAATGGATTGTAGATAACTATTTACACAAGAGCAGGTGAAATAGTCAGACAAGGGTGGAAGTAAAGAGAATGACGGCTGCCTATTGCCTCATCCAGTACTTTTAGATTCTAACTGTCCACAAATTAGATGCTGTGAAGTGAACCAGGGCTGCACCACTGATGTTGAAGCATCTCCATCTTTACTCACGTGTTTAATAACATAATTACTGCAAACACAGAGGCACTCTGGAGCTTAGTAGAACTTAGAGACTTATTCCTTAAATAATTGATGTGAAGAAACGAGTTGCTGCAAATCAAGAGAGTATGGGCCGTGGTGTTGGACACTTTGGTTGCTCTGTGCACCTTACAGAACACTGAAAGACTCACGACCAGATCAGAGTAAAAAGCTAAACAGTTTATTGTAGGAGAAGACAGGCAGAGCTGGAACCAGCAGGGTAAGATCCGTTTGGTTGTTCAGGTTCTGGGGAGGAACTGTTCGGCTGTGGTTGTGTGCTCGGGTGAGACGACGAGGAGAGGAGTAGATGTTGTGCATGAGAACGGGCAGGTAGAGCGGAGAAGGTTGGGTCCAAGAGTCTTCCAACAGATTTTCAAGACTTGGAGCAGACCAGAGGTTCCAGGGAGGACAGATACAGGAACATGAGGAGATCACTACAGAGAAACAGGTGTTTCTTGTATTATTCAAGGAACACAAGTGGAGGTTTTGTCACTATTGACAACAAACAATCCACTAGAGAACTGAGAGTCATTCTTATGAAGAACAAGTTGATTACTGATAAGCAGATGGAGGTTGCTCTGCTTAGCACAGCACCTGAAATGACATCATGAAGCCAGGGGAGGGAGCCAGGTAACACAGACCTAACACAATGATGTCCTCCAGCAGCAACAAAGCAGCATGTGTGATCACCTTCACCTGTAGGCATCATACATGAGTTATGATAAATTAATTAGTTGATCAAACACCATCTTCTTCCCAGTGACAATTCAAGTGACCCTTAGAAGATTCACATGCATTTCATGGACCTCATCTATCATTGCGCCTTGCAGGTATACACTCACTGATGTTTACATGTACATGTGACTAAAGTACAGAAAACACTACAGTTTACATTAGACAGAGGTTGTTTTGATCATGTTGCAGTGTATTATACGTATGTTAGGTTCAATGTGCGTCAGTTTATTGTTCTGCTTTAAACCATAAATGTTTAAACTCATGAGAAAACATGTTAAGTTCCGAAAACTGAATTAACTCGAATTTTGGTAAGTTTAGGCGAGTTTCAGTACAGTACTGTGTATTTTGATTCTGTCGACTGAAACGGTTCATGTGGATGGAAGCACGTTCCCACAGCTGATCAAAAGTTTGCATATATTTACACACAGCTTTCATTTTTGTCCACCCCGACATGTGTGCAACATGGCAACCTTTTGTGTGTACGCGCAGTGGATGCATGAGGCCCCTGATCTTTGACCGGTTCTAAAATGATTCTGATTTAACATCAAGTGGACAAAAAATACAACAGGTTCCACCTCGTTGTTGTTTATTAAACAAATTAGAAAAGATGGGTGAAAATCGAGTCTACCTCTGCTGCTTTTACAGGATTTTAGTGAAAATGTATTACCTGATCATTATCAGTCAGACCACAATTTATTAAAGCTGAAGCTTTTTTCAGTTTGCTGCTATGGGGCATATAGGTCTGTATCAACCCAATGTCAAGAAGGAAAGACATCAGCAATGACTTTAGAAGCAGCTGTTGCTGTCCATCAATCTGGGAAGAGTCAGCTAACAATCTGGAGTCGGTGGTTTTGCAGTGAGAAAATATTTAAGACAGCTGCCAATCTTCCAAGGAGTGGATGTCTAATCAAATTCACCCCAAGGTCAGACTTTGTACTACTCAGAGAAATTGTTAACAATCCAAGAGCTCCTTTTCCTAAATAAAATGCAGATGAATGTGATTCTACACGCTGTTAAATCGTAACTTTTCTGTGGAAAATACACATTGTATGTTTACCGTTTAAAGCAATGAAAGTTGGAGACAAAAAGAAACAAAAAGTCACACAATTAAATAAAATAATACCAAACCATAAAGTTGTAGTTGTTTTCATTTATTTGCAGTCTTTTTTGCACCATAACTTTTTTTAAACACTTTTATGCCACAACATTGGGTTTTATTTTTCTCTCCTTTGTTTACTCCTGGGAACTTTTAAATACAACAAATCAAATCCTCTTTATTTTTATAAGGACATGATCATTAGAGTGTAGTCCTCCATAGTTTCTCTTTTCCAAACTCCATCACGTATAACATTTTTTTTTATAAATTCACTAAACAGCTTGAAAAGCAGCATGAACATGGATTGTGGGTTGTACGTACTTGATTTTTTACTTCTTTATCATTTTCAAAAGTGAACACTGATAAGATGACTGCTTGATTCATGAATATACATTTAGCAAGAATGAGTTTAAGATTTTTACTCAAATGAGAGATTTGTTGCTGGAAAGATTTGCATTCAAGATCATTTGTGCTTACAGTTTTATTTATTGACAACAATTCTAATAAACTACAATATTTCAAACAAAAGCTCCTGTTAAACTTTAAAGTAACTTTACTTATACTGAAAGATGTAGGTGCATACTAAATGTGAATTGAGTTGCAGGGGTGCAATAAAACACCACGTCTAGTTATTTGTAAGAAAACCTGCAGGAAACTTTGAAAGAAGCAAAACATTATTTATTCTTCATTTTTCTTTAAGATTTTTCTTCACATCCTTTCAACTCTGGAGGCATCTCTATAGATTGTTGAGCTCCAGCAGAGTCTGGTCCAGAACCTGGTGCATGTCCAAGTTTTCTTCTTTGGCTTGGGCCAGCTTCTCTAAAGTTGGAGAGAAAGCAACAAGTGAACTTCCAGCCGCGTTTCTTGTCAGAAAATATAATTGTTTCTACACAAACACAGAGCAGAAAGACACGTCAACAGCCATGTGGACTTTGGCTATGCAGTTTAATAATATCTCATAGAGAATATACGCAGTATAGAAATGATACATTGTCCATTACAACTCCGGTGCATCCCTTGAGTTTTATGTTTCTATGCTTGAAAAAAGTATCATCCAGTGTTTAAAATGAAAAGGAGTCACGTACAAAAGCTTAGAATATTAAAAAAATTGACTTCAAATCCAGTTTGGATCAGTCTGTTCATACAAAGATGTTGTCTGAAGACTTTTAGTTTTAGTAGGTTGAAAACCAGTGAGTCACCAACGGTCTCATGTTCTCTAACAACGGACTTGCATCTGCTTTCGTTACAATCCATCAAAACATTTTCCTACAAAGGTCTTAACCTGATATTTAAATTAAGGAAACTGCTATTGGTTTAAGACTTAAACCAACTTAAACTTTGTCTTATCATGGTCATCTGATATATTTTAGTTCGGCCATAAAACCGCAAATTTTCTTCATGCTCCAGAGTTAGTCGTGGAGTTCCTCAGGACTCAGTACTTGGACCACATATGCTTTAATTTGGTAATATAGCATAATTTTAGTTGGACTGCAGTTTTCTCTTAAAGAAATGAAAACAACTCAATATTCTGGTTCTAATATTTGTTAATTTGGTTCTTGGAAACTTTAGAACTCACACAGGTACTTTAGTTGGCATAACCCCAACCTTGATAGCTAATGAAATATTGTGTAAACAAAACTTCTTTCTGATTCCAGAGAAATGAAATAGGAGATGAAATACAAAAGGGTAAATTAGGGCTTCAATTCCCACACAACAAATGATACAAAAGGAACTGAAATGATGCAGACGCAACAATTTTAAATCTGGAGATTTATTGAAAATGTATTTAATACAACATGTAGGAAGCAGTGTCTGCATCTTTCCCATTCAAAGCTACGCTGTTCATGCAGTGTCTGGTTCAGGCATCAGTCAAAGTTCTGAGTGTAGTCTTCCAGTCTCACATTTTTCACTAACACAAACACCTGTCCTCTCGCTCAGAATGTCCTGGACGTCCCCTTCATTTCCACTTACACTAACAGTCTCTTTCAAGTCAAATTTTATTTCTTTAGCTCTGATTTCAGGGCTTGAATGAGGTCACTCATCACCTTTGTTTACATGCTTTGTTTGTCCTCAGAAGTGCAGAGCAGCTTGAAAGTCTCCACAAAGTAGATCATGTACATTAAACCCTAAGCCAGGGGTCTGCAAACTTTTTGATCAAAAGAGCCATTTCTGCCCCTTCGCTGGAGCCATACAACCTGCTACAACTGTGATTACCAACAGGTGGCCCATGGGCCACTTCAATTCTCTCTCTTTCCCTCT